CGGCGGGCGGGGAGGGGAGAGTTTAACGTGACCGAGTCGCACATCGCGCCACAGACGGACAGTTTGGAAAGATGAGTCAACCCCTCGCAGCCCCGGGTGCATCGCAGCCCCTGCTTTCATCTGCAGCGTTCGTCTCCAGGTAGCCAAATTGCTACAGTCACGGGCAAGGAGGTGTCCATTTTACACGGTTTCTAGCAGTGTTCTAATTGTGTTGAGGTGGCAGAAATCTCTTACTTGAAGCCTGAAACGTCTTGAAGCGGGACCAAATCGTGTTGTGACCGTGCTTTTGAAGACGCTTTCCACCGGTGAGACTGCCTGTACAGGCACATGTGGAGCCACACGTGGATGCACATGTGCAGGACGTGGCAGATGCGCGCAGGACTGGGGCGGCTGCAGGCCGCGCTGCGCATCGACATCAGGGGACTGCCAACTTCTCACCTGCGTCGACTCACCTCGCTGGTGTGGCCACTTCTTTCACGGGGGCAACGCGAAGTTACACAGAGTTTTGGGTTCCATAGAAGCCTGAGCGTCTGGAAGGATGTGCGCATCAGCCGGCTTGGGTCACAGGCCTCCCTCGAGAACAGCCACTTCGGTTCTTGCGACGCATTGCCACTCTGTCGCTCACCCCGCCGAAAAGCGTTGTTGATGATGTCCATTATCAGAAGTGCTTATCATTTTCCGCCATAGGTTTCTTCAATTCCGTATTCATGGATCCAGGATGATGCAAGAATCCCGTCCATTCACTTGTTGAGGTACCGACTCGGAGATCGGCTCATTCCCCCTCACGGTCTTCACGATATCCACCGGCAAAATCCTTGCTTCCTTTCTGGCGCTGTAGGGCTCACGTCCTAGGTGGGATACTGCAGGCAATGGGGTTGCCTGTTGGCGTCAGAGACACCGACACATCCAATTCGCAAGTGTCCCTGTTGGGCATTCCGCGCCCGTTAACTTGTCTTGGACTACTTTGACGCTACCAATTTGTGGCGGGTGTCGTTGCGCATTCACTGTGTAATTTCGGAATTTGAAATATGGTGGGTGGGAGGGGTGGGGAGTGGGGGAACAGCGGGGGGCCGGCTGATGTTCGCATCTGATGGGACGGGGAAGAGGTTGGCATGGGGTGGTGAAGGTTGGGTGCTGGTTTCTGGACGTTCCGTTTTCAGCAATGTGCCAAATATATGTTTGCAATGCAAAATTCGTAAACATTTTGCCTCATTCACCGAGAGTCTAGGCGCTTTCATAGCCACTCATGGATTTACTGAGCATTCGCAGAGGAACTTGGACATGACTATTGGGAACGAAAATCAACAGTTTTCAAACTTGCAGTGTTCATTCGTAGATCAGGCCTTGGAAAACATTGCCAAACGAGAAAAGGCCCGACCTCCGGCGACGTCGCTGGGGGGCCGACATAAACCCCGGCGACGTCGCCGAAAGAGGTTGGAAGGTTCGCTGGACCTCAACAGCGTCAGCGGGATTTGTCGCCAGGGGGGTTGGGGGATTCGTCGGGGCCGACGCTGGTGTCGTCTGCTCTCTCAATTCTCCCACCGACGCCACGGGCAACGGGGCGGCGACGTCAGCCACTCCTTCCTCTCCCCATATCCACTCCCCAAGCTGGCGATGTCGACCGATATTGGGATCTACAGTGCAAAACAGGCAATCCTGGATACGATTCTGACCGACATGCCCTGCCGGTGCAAGAGGATATTTGCGTAATATTTCCCAAATAGTCTGTGTCGAATTGAATGGATGCTGGGTTCGAGCGCCAAAATAGAACAGCTCGAGCGGCGATCAGTAGTCACATGAGCTGTTCCGCGACGCCTGACACCGGCAGGTAGATGTGAATACAGAATAAAAAGCCCAGAAACTCCATTCAGAAACCCTGCTGCATCGATTACCAAGGATAATATTAATCAAATCGGCCATTGCCATTGACCTACCAGCCAGGCCATCCATGGCCCCACCTCCGTTTGAGCTTTCCCACATTTTTGGGATAACAATTGTCTGTACAAGTGCATGAAAGTGTCCAATGCCATTTGTCGGGCACAAACATATCCGTTCGAACCTAGTATCGGAATGCCTATTGTCGCTGATATTCTTCCGCCCCTCTGCTGCCTTGCACGCAGTCAAGAGCTACTGCATGCCGCGCAGTTCCCAGCCAGCCTTCGCCATCGTCTCCACTGCTGACATTGTTGCCAGCTTCTTCTCCACTGCTGCTGCCGTGGTCTTCGGGCTTGGTGAAATATCTCCATTTCGTTCCCAAGCACCGGAGACTGCGCCATCCATGACCAATGAGAGGTCTGTGACAAGCTTAGTTACGTCAACGGCTGTGAAAATTTGCCACTACAGCAGGGGTCGAAAATTTCAGTGTTGCTTCTGTTCCCGAGCAAATCACAGCCAGCTCAGGGGTCATGGCCTGATTAAACCGACTATATAGTAGCGGTCCTCCTTTGTGTCCAGTCTTCCTGCGGGACGAGAAAAGATCTCCCTGTTTGTTGTTCTTTCATTATAGAGTTGCCGTCTAGCAGGAAGATAATTAAATAGTGCCGCACACGTAAGTTATTTTCCACAAAAGGACTGTTTCTTGAGTAAAGATGTTGAAACACCGAATCAAATATTTTCATTCAAAATTGTGTTCATATGTATACATCCAATCTTTTCTTTGCTTTGAAAGCAATAGTCATTTATGGAACTGCAACATATGATGATTCCAGGTTGAGATATTGTCTGTAACACATCACCCGATGTTTCCTGATTGTTGAGTGTGAGCGCGATAAGAAATGTTGTGCGCCAAGCGTGTGCAGGAGCTGAACATTGCAATGTGCACGAATGTGTCCATCATTAGAAATTTTCAAAAGGCGAGAGACGATATATTGGTGGTCTCAACAGTGCTGATGGTTTTGGCAAGTGTAGAGTGGCTACAACTGGAGAAGCGTGCTTCCGTTCATATCCTTGTAACACTTTTTTTTCATGAAGCGCACCCTGTCGAATGATAGAGGGTGAAGATCTGCGAGAAAGACGCATAGAATTGGCAACAACGTCATAAGTCAAAGTCGCACGTACCTCCTAATCCGGTTCCGGTAAATTGAACTAGGAAAAGACCTTCATGTCAACAAGCAGAAAGAGAACCATTTTCCATTCTATTCAGATTTGGCTACATCAAGCATCACCCGCCGGAGGGTTGCGTCAAGCATGGCAAGGTCTGTGGTTCAGTCGTTTCGACAATTTCGGCGGGACTACACCATGATGTGACCTCCAAAAATGTCAAAGCCCGCTGCCCTGACCATGCTCAACGCAAATACCCAGTCAGATGATGCATAAAGTATATCCCCAAGCATATTTCGTGGCCGATTCTGGTCCGAGAGCAAATTGCGAATGCAGAATAGAATAGCGTTGAATCCAAAGCGCCGCAATCGTAACGCGGCCAAATGTGCCAGCAACACTGAAGAATGGAAGGCCCCTGAAAGGGAAAGGGCGAAGAAAGGCTTCGGAAACACGTCGTGCGGAGCGGCGAAAGAAAGAGGCGGAGTGGTGATCGTCTGGCACCGAACCACCTCCTTGGGCAGGATTCAACTGCGCCATACATGTATAGCGGATGTATACATTCCCCATGGGGAATTATGGATAACAGCGGTCGTTGCTGCCGCCACAGTAGCCGATTTCGCTTCAGCGCATCTTCGAGCTTGGAGCCAGCGGGTCTCGTGGGTCCTGGCTGCAACTTCTGCGCTTGAGGCTGCCTGTCGTTGCTCTGCCCAGAGAACATGCCCTCACGATATTGTTCTGGCAAATTCGCAGCGACTCGGTATTTGTGCCAGAAGGGCCGGTTCGTTCAGCTACACCTCGAGTGGTTTGATATGTCTCTACCCACGGAAATGTTGCCCAATGTCGTTGCACTGAAACGGACGACCACCACCTATTCAAGACCTATGTTCTGGGTGCAGTTGGATAGGCCTTTCTTGTTTGGGGTCCTTTTCTCACGGAGACTCAATGGAATTAGTTGGAGAAGGTCCAAACTCACTTCTTTTGCCAAGTTCTTCGCCTTGCTGGCCACACGCCACTGGGGATTATTTATGCCGAAATGGGAGCACTTCCTTTAGAATTTTACTTCTGGAGACAGTTGATGGGATACTGGAATCCAATGGTGGAATTTCCCAACTCTCGGTTTCATCGCGCCATTTTGAAGCCGGACTTCAACAATTCTGAGTCAATCCTCGATCGTGGTATGGATGCATCGATGCCTTTCTCCATCGATTCTGGCCTGATTTCAGTTCAACGGAAGCTACACCAGTTGATGTACAGTCGTTTCAACGGATCTACAAACACGTCCACATTGCCAAGAAATAATATTACTGCCTGCACCAAATCGGTGACTGCAAGCGCCAAATCACGTGCACACTATGTTCTATCCTCCGTTTAAGGGCTAGATATAGTTTTAGGGTGAGTTTTAGGGTTAGGGTTAGGTTTAGGGCAGGTTTGGTTTTAGGGTCTAGGTTTTAGGTTTGGTAAGTATTGGAGGCAGTTGGTGCAAATAGTCACCGATTTCGTGCATAAAGTCACCGATTTGGTGCAGCCAGTAATTGTATGCCCATTGCCAATGACTTCTCCAGCCAATCTTCCAGGATTCAGCGATGGTACAGACACACCAAGCCAGTCTACTGATATGAACGATGCCTGTCGTCAATACAGCCAATCTCCTTGGAGACATTTTTCCTGCGATTTCGTTGTGGGGTGCACTTTCTGGAAGTTCAGCAACAACGACACCAAGCACGACAATTTATTCCAGGGGTTTCGAGGCGATTGTGTCCTTCATATCACTTTGCTCCAGAAGACGAGATCCATTTTCTCTTCCACTGCCAGGCCTATGACAACATCGTGGTGTTACAGGAGCGCAACAAATTCACTCGATGCCGATCAAAACCTCTACGACCTATGCAAGCGCTCTGCTGCTAATCGACAGCGCTATCAGGGCACCGCTCCCCTGTACAGACAACGTCCTGCATCAGATCTTAGCCTTCGCCTTGATCGTCGCCGTCGCTGGTCCCGGACGATGATGTGTCGCTGAGGCCGGGAAACACAGAGTCCAGCATAGCTCTTTGCCGCACGGAGGGCCGACCACGGCCAGCCGCCTCGCTCTCCGCCTGACGCTTTCTGCTGGCACTTAAGCCAACTTCAAGGGCCTCCCTGAGGCGCCGCCAACACAGATATTTGAGGCCGATTTGGTGCCAACGATGGGTTGTGCAGCTCTGATGGTATTGTGACTCTGCAGACGAATAGAGCCACTTCTTGTTGCAGCATGTGGGGTTGATATGCACATTGGCAAGCCATCAACTGCGTGACAATTGGGTCTTGAAGGGTCTGAGTAACGCTATATTGTGTACGCATTTGGGATGTGTTCCAAGAAACAATTCTTTCCGATTTGAACCCTATGCCCTGCCGGCGGCATCTACACAAACACGAGTCGCTAAAAATTCCGTGAACGCTTTACGTTCTATGATTGTGACTGGCATTTGTGGACACTTGCAAGTAGCACAACAGCTACACAAGACGTTTACTAGTCTCCAATACAATGGTTTTCAATTGGAGGTGCTGGAGCAGGGAGAGTAGTGCATACCAGCCGCCGAGCATTACTGTAGACTGCTAACAACACAGGGAGAACAGCTTGCGCCAAATGAAATGCGAGAGGGAGGGTATTGGAGGTCCGGAATTCCACATACATGCACAAACGCACACATTACTGCGAATAGAAGGCAAAACACCAATGCACCGTTGTCATTCAGTAACCAAATTGAACTTCCTAGCAGTTTCTTACTTTTGATTATTGGAATCCGCGTGCATTGCCAGTGCCACACAAGTAACTTGTGGTAATCAGAAAACTTCTTTGAAAGATTGCCTGCGTTGTGTCCCTGTTTTATGCCCTTCACACGCGCCCACCTCCGACCCACCTCAGCTCGTCCCTTGCTTGCGATGTGTCTTCTCGAAGCTGCTGGATAGCTTCCTCCGCTGACTGAGGCTGCCTGCTGCTGCTCCCAGGTGTGCTGGCTGCAAACGAATCGTGTGTTCCAGACATATTTGTTGGGCCACAGTCAAGAATGGCGATGGGCTGTACTGGAACATCGTTCTGGTTTGTAGGTACATCGTTGAGTGTGGACAGAACTTCGTGCCCAAGCACAACACGGCCGATCACCTGTGCACAAGGCAGTCACTGTGGCAATATGTAAATGGCATGTATCTTTTCAGTATATTTGGATTGGTAGGCTGACCCTTCGTCCTTGCTACCACCTGTGCTATGGCTCCATTGAACAGTCGAAGCCTTGATCGTCAAGAAACACACTTGCACAGAAACATTGCTGGTAACAACCCAGACAGGACAATTTGCAAGCTGGGACCTTCCAACATCAACAAAAAAACCCACCTAAATACTCCAAATTGCTGAGAGGTTTTCCTTTGTGGTCCACATAGACATATGGTGCCAAACAACATGCTCGTACTCCAACATCAAACGGACAACGAAAAGGCCAGGTGGTGAGCTGCATCATAAGGAACATTGTTTAAGTGTGCGCAAGTCCCAATGCACCTCCCCAGCATATTTTGATGGTACATGAATGTACAATTTGCTTCTACCAAGTCTCAGTCCAAATTGATGCATCGAAGGGAACAAAACGCAGTTTCAGTATTTCAACATTTCATTACCACATTGAAGCCTCTACCATCGCCCACATCAGTACATTCTTACTACAGTCCAAAGCAGCTGCCTGTCCAACAGATTTGCGTGATGTGCAGCTTTCTCACACTCCCACCTGATGGGTGTTGTCCAGCGCTCGGGCCACACCCAGGGAGAGCACCATTTCATCGTTTGTAACAGCTATGGAGATGCAACCTGAGTCGACGTGCTGCAGTTTAGTCTCTCTTCCAACTGGCCAATTCTCCCTGCATATTCCAAAAGAAGAGTGCGAGTTTGTTGGGCTGCCAGGAAACCCTGCATTTCAGTGTGCTGAAGCTCAGGCACAAGGCCATGTTTGGGCAGCACAACACACTTTTCAGCAGCTTGAGCACCACCCGTCCATGCGAACCAAGCAAACTTGGTCTACAACGGCAAACAGCAAAATCATCCTTGCTATACCGATGCAACAGTGCCAAGGACAAAGCTGAGCCCAGCCACTTCAGAGCATGTTCTTAACATCTTGACAGTTTGGCTTGCTAATGTTCATGCTCACCTCGTTTTCCTGAAGTAGGCAGCAAAATGAGGCTGCAACTTGTGACACCTGCTGCCCTTCAGAGAGCCCTGCACGCCCTCACCACAGATGTTCTGGAAATGACCCACGGAGACAGCCACGATGTCCACAAACAGTTCGATCACCAGCCTTCCTAACATGAGGGAGCAAACACACCTGAGGAAAGTCTGTTCATGTCAACTGTGGAGTTCTGTCTGGCTACAAATGCTCTCCAAGATCATTTGAAACACATGCCATGTCAGGCTGCTGCTACATGTCAAGGGAGTACTGTTTCAATGCAACCGTTGTGATGGGACATTCATCAACATTGCCTGAAGCAGATTCAATTCTGAAGGGCGGTGAAGGTAAATTAATGTTTTATTACCTTAGCTATCAGTGTGGACCTCGCCACTCTTTGCTTTCCTTGTGCGCTGTGCCCGAAGGCTACACCGCCATTTGAAGACACTATGAGCACCTCCAAATCCACAACCTAAAGATGCCTAGTACATTGGTGGGAGAATGCTCACTGCCGTTGGACTTGTTGCCAAATGGATGCCATCATGTACAAGAAGCATTGAAAACCTTCAGGCCACGGGGCACCAATGGCCCAATAAAGAATGTCGCCATGGATTTGATACAACCGTCTTTGGCGCACGGGGTCTGCATTGCACCAGAACATGCCTATTCCCCAATTAAGGCCAAAGCAATGGTTGTTTACCACAAGTGATCAAGGGGAATTCTTGCCGCACAAACGCGGGCGGCGTTCCTCTCTGCTGCGATGAAACCGTGGCTTACGATTCCAACAGGATTGCAAGTGACCCGCCATTCCTTCCCAAATCCTCGCTCCACGCCCGCCCCCGCTCACCTATCTTCTCCCCGGCCCTGCCCACGTCCAGGAACACGCAGGGCCTGCGCGGGTCCACTTCCGGCAGGCTGCCGACCTGCCTGTAGTCGTCCGCCTCCCGCCCCATCTCCGGGTGCTCGCCCGTCTCCAGGAACTTCTCCATGTCCTTCTGCAGCTCCTTGTTGGTGTAGGTGGACCGCCGGCGCCCGGTGCGCTGGGCGATCGCCTCGCTCACGAACCGCGTGCCGCCCTTCCCCATCGCGGCGCCCCGGAACGCCGCGACCGGCGCGGATCGATCTCAGAGGCTCACAACGGCAACGCTGAAAAAATCCTGCAGCGGTCTCCTTTTGTTCCTTTTCCCGTGCACCGTGGTGCACTTCGGCCGTCGTTTGCCAGCAGCGCTGTTGGTGACGAAAGCGAGGTGCCTGGGCAAGCGGAGGACGAGGTTGCTCCAGGTGTTGCCACTCCTCAACCTATTTCGCACACCTTTCTCCGCCCCTTAGCTAGACTCTAGGCATGTTCAGTGGGCGCAGGACAACAAAGTACACGACAAAGTACTGGACAGTCTGCCGGCGAATGAGCCCCGGGGAAGAAAGGCCCAGCCGCGCGGTTGTCAGAGGCTGCGGTAAAGCTGAGCTACTAACGTCGGGGGGTGAAGGGGACGGATGGCTGGGGATCGTTTCTGTCACACGGTCGCCGCATGACCATGACGAGACAACTCGACCTGACGACCTCAACACACTCTTGGCAGCAACCGCCTGGTCACCGGCCACTTGGCCGCGCCCCACCCGACCTGCGGCAGCCCGGCTTTGGCACCCCTTTCGCCTACAGCTGACGGCGGGATGTTGCCATCCGCGGGGGAGCGTCAAGCGCCGGGCGTCGCCCTCGTCCCGGGCGGGCGCGAGGTCAGGATGGTCGGACGCATCAGGCCCGGCGGCAGGCAGGCTCGTGGCGGGAGGGGCGAGCGGGCACGGGGGACGGTTGCCGCCGCGCCCGAGGTGGGGGATCAGCGTCGCATGATTCGGTGATGGGGAGATTCGGTCTGGCGGGACGGCGCCAAGTGGGATCTGTCCTGGGCGCAGCGTTCCTGCCGAGTTGAGAAACACCTGCATCACTGAGGGCGAACGTGTCGGGCACAGACGTATTTGCTCAGCAGGGCGCGATCACTTTGTGAAACGTTTTCTAGCCGTTTGCAATGCCAATCTTTGCGAAGTGATCTGGTCGCGAATTAGCACCGTGGGCTGTACTAGGACTTTCCTGGAGCCTTTCTTGCGTGTATGCTGCGAAATCGAGGCGCCGCATTGAGACCCACGGCGTGTGTCGCGCGGCACTACAGAGGGTGGCCCTGAACGGCCGCATCGCCGAGTTCTATGACGAGTCTTCGGGGCTGTGGGAGGACGTCTGGGGAGAGCACATGCACCACGGTGAGGGGCGGAAATGCACGACTGCTTTTACCCCTGAGCGCTGACCTGGTGGATTCAAACGGCATTGACGAGGTGCTCCAAGAAGTATTCATCTTGTTTGCTTGAAAGATCAAGGCCGCGCAGGGTCCCGCAAATCCACCACCAATAAACTCTGCCAGGAAGCACACTGTCGCCAATATTTCCGCAGTCGAAAGAGCTGCACGATGTAGATTTACGGCTTGAAGATTCGTAGATTGTTTGGGTACAGATTTCAATGGACTGATCTGCGACAGGGATCTACCGAGAAGCGAGCCCGCCGAAATCTCACACAGCTGCACAAGTGGAAATGATCGACGAGGTCCTGAAGTGGGCAGATGTCAAGAATGTGAACAGGGTCAGTAGATCTCTACACTGGACATCCCTAGGGGACCATGCACTTTGCGTTCGTGGGCGTTCACAACGGCCTCCAAATCACTACTGTGCAACAGGAATTTGCTGTCAAAAACCAGCTGGAGAGGTCTTCCAAGCTGATATTCTGTGAAAGAATATGCATGCTCTGCAGCAATTTTGAACACATTTTCAACAGCTTGCCGCATCTCATGGACCGCACATTATCACCAGCATGGTGTGCACTGTGCACAGTGCCAGGTATTGATCGAGGCAGAAGTTGGTATCAAACAGGATGACAGTGTTTCGAACATCCCACACCAAGTATCTGAAAGGCGAGTCACCATCGTCCTCACCACCATGCTTGCTCACCGCTAGCCTGGTGTGGCACTCCGCTGTTTGATTGTGGATGAATGTGCTCTGATTGCAGATGGTCGACGTTGGGTGTGGGATAGGAGGCAGCAGTCGCCACATCATTAGGAAGTATGGATGCACATCCACTGGGATCACGCTAAGCGCTGTGCAGGTGAGTGCCGCATGGCCCCTTTTGCTCTGGAAGGACACAGGTATTGGAAGAAAAAGTAACAGCACCTGGCCACAGATCTGCAAGACAGCTCAGGTGCCAAGCAGCTTTCATGGCACGTTGTGAATCACATGCCACAATGTTTTGAAGTGGTCATCACGCATGTTAAACGCCATGCAGTGGCCAGTTGCAACAGCACACCTCTCTGGGCGAGGTCGTGCATAACCCTTGTTTTGGCTGTTCATTGTAATGAACCTGCCAAAGTTTGAGCATTTTCTTTGACCCTGTGTTGAAGGTCTCAGTTGCAGTCCAAGTGAGCCACACACTGGACCCTATTTACAGAGTGACTTTGCTTGTTTTGGTGAGGCCAAAAGATAGCTTGCTCGCCCTTTGGGTGTTGCATTAAGTTTCTTCAACAGCTGTTGCCCATATAGTGCAGTCCGTATGCCAATAACAAGATATATGGTGTCCTTGTCAGTGTCCGTTCCATATTTTGATTGGGTGCGACCTGAACCGTAGGCAGCACGGGCGAATGAGATCACTGCTGCTGCTGGACTGGGTGACAGGGGGAAGTTCATTGTGGCTGATGCTCTGGATCAGCCATTTGAAGACAACTCATTCGACCTGGTGTGGTCGATGGAGAGTGGAGAGCACATGCCGGACAAAAGGTGGATCGCGTAGCTTCCAAGCAAGCACATGCATGACTGCTTGGCCTCACCCACAAAACTGCACAATGTCCAGTTCACATAGCTGCAGGGTAGACTGCATAACTTGGTATCCTTCTTGCGGCTGTTTAGGACTAGTTGGAACATATTTTTGGTCCCCAGGACATGGACTCACATTTGTCACATTTTATTTTGAATGATAGAATCAGAAACTGAGCGTGCATCTTTCTGCCCAGCTGTCAAGGTATTCGTCACCAGTCGCTCGAATGTGTTGTATATCAAAACTGGGGTTTGTCCCAACAAAGTTTCATCATTGCTTTCATGGGATGTCATTGTGTTGCTTTCTGAACTAAATGGTGCTTCGTTTCAGAAAATTTGTCTCGGAGCTCCTTCGAGTGTGTGCCCCTGGAGGCAAAATTATAATAGGTAGGCGTAACCTCACCACTTGTGAATTGTCGTGGCTGTTATCAAAAATAGCATTGGCACAATGTACCAAAATTGTAGTTGTGCATGCAATGTAAAACATGTGTTGACAACGGCTTGTCAGAGAATGGCAGCATGGACACCAGCACTTTGGGACCGCAGCACACTCCCAAGGCTCTATGGAACGCCAGACAACCTCAACCATCACAACAATTGACAGAGGACATATGCACGCATCGTGTTGCTGATATTTTATGGTTCTATCAGCGTCTGCCTTGGTGCTGCTCCCAGGAGTAGTGCCTGTTGTAACTGCAGGAACAGGGCTTACAGGCGGATATTTTGTGAATTTGATATCTGGATCGCAGCTCAGTAGATCGTGGATTTTTCTTTCCCTTTTCATCCCCTTGCTTCTCTTTAGTTAGCACAACGCCTGCATCTCTTCTGTCAGGATGTGGGTGGCACTTGGACTCATGAATGTGACGCAATGTTTTGGAATTATGAGAGTGGAAAACATCAGCTTGCGAACCTCCATGCATACGACCCTTGGACTCTTGAACTTTCTGCCACAAGGAATCACCCTCCCACAGGGTCGAGACAAGCTGCTCACATCCTGCTGGGCTCTTGAAGTTCTAAGTCCATCTGCATGTGCTTTTATGCTGTATCCCCAGCATCATACGTGTTACTTGGCGAAAGAGGTGCCGTGAATGAAGTGATAGTGATGTGCAAGCCATTCATCCGATCCTCTTCGTGCTGGCTGTGAGACACCAGTTGCATTGGCCGATTCTTATGGAGTACGTCGTTCTGTCTCTGGCAACGCGCTTTTGTGGAAACTGTGGTGAATTTCCTATGTCTCCGTGAATTGAGTGCGGCTCGATTGTGTGGCGCTGCAGCAGTACGTTGGCCTGAACTGGTGTTTGCTGTGGTCCACAGTCACATGGTGCCATCGAGTGCTGGCAACGGAAGAGAAAGAACTAACTCCTCCTGAGAAGCTGCTTCTGGGTGCAGTCAGCAGTGTCTATGCGCTGCCTGATTGGGTGTCTGCTGAAGAGTACAAAAAAGAGTTCGGTAAGTGGCCAGCCCTGTGATCATTGCAAACTCATATTCCATGTGAACTTACAATTGCCGCGAAGCGACAAACAGTGGCGCGCAAAGCTCCATTGCGGCTGTGTTGTTGTACTTGCGGGTTTGGCTGTGCTCCTGTCTTCTGTGCTGCTGGTTGCCCACAAGTGTGTAAATGAAGTTATACAGTGTTGATCGGTATGGTCAGGCGCATGTATGCATTCCATCTGTATCACCGTAAACCCAACAGTCGAAAATTCGGCAGGCGCTTCTTGAGCAAGGAAGGTTGGACAGCAAACCGCAGTTTGTACCTTGAACTCTCGGCGAGGCAGCGTTTGTGCGCGGTGATCCGGACTTCGTTTGTCTTTTTTCGTCAAAATTGTTCCAATTATCGAGAATGGTATACTGAACAGCCCCCAGGTTCGCGGAAGGGAGCCGAAAAGAGGCTGAATCTCATCGTCGGTACGAGCAGAAAATGCATCTGTTAGCACAATATTCACCGTTGAAAAATTGTACCATGCATGGCAGCATGTTACAGCAGCACTGCACACACGCCAGGCAGGAACACCAGATAGGCCGCCAGCATCACATTCTGCATAAACGCTCGTCAAAGTGGTCCCTTTCACCAGCGTGGTACTGTGCACGCATACATGCGCCCACGTTTTCATGTACTTATGTCCACGATTCATGTTCACTGTTCTTGCGTTCCTGTTGCAGCGGCCCTCGGAATACAAGACGTTCGTGTCGAAGATTGGACGGCGGACGTTGCCCCGTTCTGGACAGCTGTGCTGCAGTCCGCCCTTACAGTGAAGGGCCTGAGAGCACTCATGTCGGTCGGGCCAACGACTTGGATGGTGAGGTGGATGGGATGTCGTGTGTATTGTTGCGCAGCCGCTGTGGAACGAATTCGACAGGCTCAGGTTTTTTCTTTCTTGCCTTTTTCCTGTGCACATGAGTGCTGAAACGGCGAGAATTCACTTTCGATTTGGGTTGATGTGTGTGTTGAACTCTATACAAAACTTGGTTGTGCTCAATGGCACCAAGAACTTTAGACCAATAACTTTCTTGCTTGCTTGTCTATTCCGGCCTTCGTTGGACTCGTTGTCCATCGACACGTGGATGAAGTCGAATGTACCGTAGCCGCAGCGTCGAATGCTTGTGACTTCGTCAGCCTTTGGCAGGCAGAGGCTGTGTACAATCTGTGACAACGCCTTCCAATTTAATGTGCGGCTTCTTGGGAGGCACGGCTGGGAATACGATTTGTTATAGATTTTTTTCCGGCTGAACGGAATTTTCTCATTCTTCACTTGTTCCTTTCGGCACAGATAGCTGTTGCTGCATACGTGGTTGGAATGTGGCTTGAAACTGCTTGGCTGACCTGTTGGTGATCCGTTGGGCTGTTCCTCAGGGTGCCCTCGCCATTCCGATCATGCGCCTGGGGTACCAGACGGGTCTCATAAAGTTCAACCTCATCACTGTGCAGAAATGATAGGCGGCTGTGGTCAAGCGACACGGCACTGCACTTCAAATGCTCTTGGGTTTTGTGGGTGACGTCGATGTCGTCCCACGAGGATACGAACGCACGAATGGTTGGCACAGGGGGCTTTGGCACAAAATCGGGCCTATTGGGCCTACAAAATTGGCACAAAATTGGCACAAAATTGGCACAAAATTGGCACAAAATTGGCACAAAATTGGCACAAAATTGGGCCAAGGCTCCGCGGGTGTGACGAAGGACGTCTCGACGCAATGCGTTGGCCAATTTCTTATCACGGATTCGGAAAATGCAGGGGTGTGCTCTTGCTTGTGTTTGAGCAATGATTGTAATGCAACTCAATTAGTTGCCCCGTAGCTGTGGACAACATCGCATGTGTCTGGCTTCTGGCCGCGTTCTCACTTTGGCGACACGAGCAGATTTGCGTGGTTAGAGTTTTCATTTTCAATAAATGCATTTTTCTTGCATCAATTGTGCGGAGAAAGGCAGCGGCTCTGAAGCTGCTGTATTGGCCAGAAGCCTGTTATTCCTCTTGAAACACTGAAGTCATGAAAGTGCACCACCAGCTTGGTACGGTACATTGGCTGCGCCACCTCTTCCTGGAAGAGGAACAGTGTACAGTGGACAGTGTACTCCTCAATTGCTGTTCATGCCCATCCCATGTAAGAGAGAATCGTTTTGCTTGGTGCGTCTGAGCTAATTTTGGAAACCACCCAGCCTCCTTGCCAATGCTTGACCGCAGGAAGTAGAATTTACCTGCAGTCACTTCTATGTTTCTTGTACGAACAACGTGGGAGGCAGAGATCCTGTGTCTCCCTCGCGCACCTCCCGGTTCGTGGTGTCCTGTATGCCCTTGCATCCTGTGGCATTGGTGGGATCGAAGCATCGCTCGCAAGAAAATGTGGGGAGGGCGGCATGCGTACTGGGTTATGCGACACAACAATCACGATGACTACTGCCCACAGTGTTTATGTGCCTTGTTGCCTGCCTGCTTGCCTGTTGGTTTGTCTAGTTGGCGCGCTGCCTGCCTCAGTGAAGGCTCGAAGCGGAGCTTGCAGGGATCATGGCAAGGGATTATGCAGATGATGGTGCTGATGACGACGAGTGCGTGAACTCATGCACCCGGCTATCTGTGTACCGACGGGCCGGCGCTATGCATTGGTAACTTATACCTTCGCGAAATTTGGGCGGAGCATTTGACCTTGCTGCGTTGAAACGTTTGGGCACACATGAGGTGAGCATTTTTGAGCTGCACGCAGCAACCAACTTTCATACAAAGAGAAGAATCACAACAGCTGCACGTCGTGCACAAGCCCCTCGCCCAGCGCCAGCATATCCTCGACGACAGCCATGACGTCCGGGACAAACTGCATGTCGGCACTGGCGTCCCCGGCCGGCATCACGCCGTGAGGAATCAAGAAATGCGAGCAGCTCGGATCCATGGGCTGAGGCAGGAACGCCTCCGCCCTCCATTTCACTCCAACCACTCTGCCCCCGTGGGGGTCGTGACAAAAGAGCGCCAGGCGACCAAACCGACCCTCCAGCTCGCCGATGTACCGAGCCACGGGGTCGAACCCGATCAACACCTGTTTCCGCAGCTCGGCGGCTTTCCTGGACCGCACGACCCGCGATGGGAACGCGGCGATCACAAATCTCCTCTCCTCGGGGACCCCACCGGACGGCCCTTCCGACGTAGTAGCCACGCCTTCATCTTCGTGGCGCCCCAAGCTCTGCGCCCTGTCCTGCTTCAATTTGCGCTGCAGCGCCGCGAGGGACGGCTGGCGCACGGCTTGCTGCGGATGCGGCAGCGCCTCCCTCCTCAGGTGAATCAATACGTCGTAGTCGTCCAGGCGCGTTTGAAGGACGCCCATCAACCCCGCCTCCAAGGGCTGGGCTTCCCCGGATGCGGCTGGCAGCCACCGCTGGGCGTCAGTTTGCCGCCCCATGTCCGCCAGAGCCGTCTTCGCAAGAGCGGCGGCCCGGCCAACCGCTTCTCGCCGCGGCCGGGCTTCAGTGATCGTTGAAAGTCTGTCCTTCGGCGTGCAGATGAACATGCAGGTGCTGGGTGCCGCGGCGGACTGCTTGAGGACGTCGAATGCGTTCCTGGCGGCACGGTGGTCGTCGGCAGTGAGCTCATTCGTCGGGTCCACGACGAGAGGTCGATCGGGCCATGGCCAGGAGGAAAGCAACAGCAAAAACCTTGCAAAACCTGCGCACGCATCCCTGGGTCAGAAGCTGCCGCTCACGAGCGAGGGTTAGATTTGCGCGACAAGGTGGGCAGCAATATGGAATGGTACGCCCACGTTCGCAATGAACAACAGCGTGCAAAGTGTGCTTGAGGATGCCCATCTCTTTCTGCTTCCAGGTGGTAAACTAGGATGCGAAAAAATTAGTGATGGTTGCCTCCCGTCAACACCTGTCCTTCTCAAGGTGGGCTGTTGCCCGTTTCCCACGCAGCCAACACAGCCCTATTAATGCTGGACGGTAGAGCGATGGCTCACAGCGCTACCCTGGAGTGCTCACAGGAAGTGCGGACACCACACACCCGACCCCGGCCCAACGGCACTCACACACGGCCTCACAAGGTGGCTCCCACGCAGAACTCAGGCTTATCTGGTTCCAAGTCCAAACACACTTTCATTGCCGACGGCGGCACCAAGCACGGGCAGATTTCTTCCTGTCTCACAACCACCTGCTTGCCTATTTGCGTCCCCGGGATTCAGCTCATCACAAACGCCCATCAAGCAACTCATTTGGATACACACTCAGCACATAGCCAAGTACAAAACACGCCGCAGTCTTCTTTCACACAGAACTTGGTTTGGAATATGAGCTACTAGAATATGGACTCTCTACCATCACCAAAAACACAGTGATGGGGTAAGAATATAAAAAGAGAAGCCCGGGCTTTCAACACTACCATTCCACCACTCAAACACTCAAATTCCTAGTTGCTTAATTCATTCATATGGCCATTCGCAAGCCTTATGGACACTTGCAAAACAAAATAAACAAGAAATTCAAGGCACTGTAAAGTTGTGGCGAAAACACAGCCACAACTACCCCACCTGATTCCTGTGGACAAGATACCCTAACCAAAGCATTTTCATATGAGCAGCTCAGCTTTCCCCATAGAAGCTCATGTGTTCCAATGCACAGAAACTCATGCTTTCCAATGGAAACACCGGAAAGGCATCCTATGAGACAAATCAAGTCAAAAGAACCTGGCATAATATCAAATAATTTCATGAATATTTTCAATGTTTTTGTAGCAGCGGTCAGCTCAAGCCATCCTATGCAAAAAAACAAACGCTTCTTAAAATGCAGAGCAATCGCTACCCATTAGCCATAATTGATCCACCCCGTGAAACGGTGGCCATTATGTGGCTACGCAAACAATCCCTTAAACGTTACCAGCAAACGTTGCAATCCGCCATTTTGCACAGCCAATTTTGATGGGCCTTTGGTTTGGTACATGTTGGAGACGTGGTGAAACATGAGCAGCTGAGAGGCTCAACTCGTTGCCCATGGCACTGGCCGCCAGCCTCTGCGCTATTTGTCCTGGACCATGTGCGGTTACAGCGAGCAAACGAAGCCAGGAAAACATCCTGGCCAGGGGTTCTGCTGATGCCATAACTCGTCGATTCTCGATTCTATTTTGCAAACGACAATGGGATGTCCATGTTTGCTAACATGGGTGAGGCACGCCGCACAACCACAGTCCTAATATTGGTGGCCAGCTCAATTTTGCTAAGTCGCGTCAGCTGCAATCGGGGCGTTTAGCAGACAATCCAGCCTTGTGGGGGCACCGTCCAGATGCCTTTAGCAACAATTCACACTACAACAACGATTTGAAGTTATGCTACAATACAATAACGATCCAGGACACACAACAGCGATTCAACATTAACATTGCAACAACAAGTCGCTACAGGGTGTGATGCGTTCTGGAGCCCTTCCATGACTAGCACATTATACGTGCACGGTCACCACAGCTCAGTGGCCAGCACTCAGCTGGGCGCCAGCATAGCAAAACTGGCAGATCAGTGCAACGAAAGCACGCACCAGGGGTGCAGGGGAGGGGGTTGGGTGATAGGACGCGGTCTGGGACATCGCTGCCATGCAGGCCAGCACACTAAGGTTGTGTTTAGGCGATGGGCGCCCAGCACGCACGTTTGGTGCATATCACAGCTGCAGGACCATTGGCTCACAATACCACAGTTCTTTGTGCAGAAATATTGTTGGGTCCAATGGTTCATAGGGCAAGAGAACGTCAGGGTGGAGTAACGGAGAAGCAGTGAAGCGCATTGGCTCCAGTGCAAGAAAACCAATGTTCTGCAAACAATGCTCAGTCTACAGCATATCCATACATCTTATAGCCTTCACTGTCCTTGTCTCTGACAATCTCAGGCCACAAAATCGGCCACCTCCTCGAGCACAGGGTCGTATATCCCAGCTGGTAGTGCTTTATTGTGTGATGCCACATCGCATGTAGCCCATGCAGCAGAACGACGCTACAGAATACAAGGCACACATGCCACTGTCCAATCTTGGCATACAAACCTGCAAGAGGTGATGCGGGGGGCATCAAGCAGGAGGGAGACGTGTACGCAGCAACCATGAGCAGCTCTATGACGTCCTCACAGAAGTCGTTGGCCATCATTTGGGATGCAATCCACCGTTTGGAAAGCCGAGTAGATAATGCAAAGGACTGGTGCTGCCCAGAGACCAGCGAGACCAGTCCGTGGTGCTGACTCAGTCGCAGAAGTTCCGATCGAATACCAGCAGCGGCGAACATCTCCTCTCTGGCAGCCACAGTGCAAGGTCAAAGCGCTCAAAATGGCTGTGCACAAATAAACACCACACCATGATACCACAGGGGCTTTCATACTTACCCATACACCAGGAGTGACAGTGAACTGTGTGTCATTTTCAGGTTCAGTGGAAATACTCCAAACGCAGCTGCCTACTGGAGTAAGAAGCTGAGTTGCCAAACTGAGTTGCCTACTGGACTGGCATAATGCCTTGCAACCAAAACGCAGTTGGTGCTCTGCAGGCACCACGCAGTGCCCTGGTTTTCCAGCAATATTCTGCTTTGTGCTGCCCAATAGCCACAGAACACAGGATGCAATCGCACATCAGCATGCGGCAATGAGCAACTCGCTGTGTGTCTTCCCCCCACAAACTATGGACCACCATCCTCACCTGTTGTGTGTGTAGATTCTCAGCCTGAACACAAACCCGTCCATCAGCACGTCGACCCCATTCTCTGTCGCAGTGGCACGGAGTCCAGAGCTTGCTTCCAGTGCCATCGCAACCTGCGTTCCGAATGACGCCTTGGTCTTCATGTATGCATCTGGGTTGAGTGGCCAGGCTCCTGGTGAGCAGCAGACGATACAGTCAAGGGCTAGATGTGAAAAATTATTTCCAAAATATTCTGAACAAAAGAACATGACTATCTGGCAGCCATTGGGGCCATGGCGCAGTGCCCAGTGTGCTGCCACAGTGTCCTTGCCTGCATTTTTGCATTTTTACAAATTTTCCAGGGGATGTCCTGGCAGCCACAGAACAGCGGCTATGCAGTGCCTCACAGCAGCATGATGCTGGATGCCCACCAGTCGACAAAGTCACAAAGGCAACAAGGGAGATGATACCCCACCTGTAGAAACCATCTCCACCAAAACATCCACAGGATCCAAACACCTGGGCACCTTGCTCTCCAGGTGAGGGTTGACCAGCTTGTTGGCCAGTGGGTTTGCAAGCGGTGTGAACACTGACATGTGCCGTGCAATGGGGCCCAATGGCTGTGTGCTCAAAATTTTGAGTGCCAGGCCATTCATGCTCTGAAGGATGGATCCGAGCTTCTCTGCAGAGCTCAGGATCGAACGATGCGACTGGATCTGCGAGTCGAGGTCCGATCCGGGACACTCCAGGGCCCCATCCAGCAGGTGAGAATATGTATGTACCTTGGTTCCGGACGGCAGGTGACGCATTAAAGCGTGCTGTACAATTCTACATACCACACAGCAGTTGAGGTCCAGCCGATCAACAATGGCTTGATCAATGAATCTTGCACTGCAATGGACACTGCTGCCAATGAGGCCATGCCTCTTGTCACTGGCATGCAGCAGTGTTTCAGGTTGGCAAACTTCTCAGGGCAGTTTCGCATTACTGATGGGGAGCAATGTGCCCCAGAAATCACACTCGTGCCTGCAAAGACAACTGCACTATGGGACTGCACCTCTTCCTCGATCCATCCAAAGGAAAGGTGTGTGAAAGGAGACTGGTACCAGGACAGCACAGGCATCAGCCACATATCTATTCTCTACTCAAGGCAACAAATTCCATGGATTTAAATGCAGATTCCAATTCTCTTCATTGGGGTTGAGGCAGGCACACTCAACAGCAACGTGATCCCACCTGATTCCAAAACATCAACAGTGATGCAACAGCTTGGAATACAAAAGAATCCTACCTGTCAGGAATGTGGTGCCTTTCCGACAACCGGCACTCCCAAGACATCACTTCACACACGATCCCATCTGGGAAGTGGCGCCGTTCACTCCTGGGCCCCCAGAACGACCGGAAAGCCTTTGCCGCGTTCTCCTCCTCAGGAGATGGTCCTTTGTCGATGAGCTGGAATGCATGCTCCTGCTCAACATGAACAGCCAAACAGATTGGCTGGGACACAAGCCTGGGCATTCTTGCGTGCGGATCAATGGCCTTGCACTCACGTGGAATCGCATGGACAACTTGTGCACGCTTGCCCAGTGCCCGCTGTGCCAGGGCTTCAACTTTCCTCTCTTGTGACCTGGCAACCAGTCCCAATTCCTCGACTCAATACCTTGTCAGAGAACACTTTGGACAGTCCCCTTCCACAGGTGAGGAAAACATGGAGAACATGCTCGATTAACAAACACAAAGAACAACATTGCATTATAGAGATGCAGGAACAATGCAAAGCCATGGATACTGAAAGAGAATGAAAAGAGGCGCACCTGTGAAATATCACAACATATCTACAACATGTAAGGGAAGGCATTGTCTTGGCGAGAAGGCACGTCGTGCTTTTGTTCCGTTGCTACAGAGGCCGAAAGAGGCAAGGCAGGGAAGGCTGGGAAGGTGCATAGTGTGCCTACATCATCAATTCCTCATGGAACCCAACGCCTTCAAGGTTCGTTCACTGAGCTGCCATAAGACCAATGGCCTGTAGGCATCCTTTCAGGCAGGCAAAACTCTATTGCAAACTCTGAACAAACACTGTGGACGCTACGCACAACTAACACATGTGTGGAGGTACGGAATACCATTACTGTCCCCTTGCCATCTTGCAGGTGTCCGCCAACTACCGGGCCAACTAACCGGGGCAATGTCCCACCCGGACCCACTTGGCTAGCACTGTCGACGCTCATCAACCTCTGTGCGCCTACAACTAACGTGTGCGGGGCACACAACGCACTTCCTTACCTCCACAATGGACCATCCTTGTCCAAGACTGGCTCCCCAGCATCAGGCACATAGACTGCCAAACAGTAGTCAACCGATGCCAGGGGATGGCTTGATTCCATGAAAAGTGTTTCAAAGGTTTCCAGAGCAGACACGGGTTTAGTGACTAAGCCCAGAGCCCTTTGTGCAAAGCCCTTCAGCAGCACAGCAGAGGACTGGGATTCGTGTTCTGCCAGGTTCAACCACCCAAATGGGCCCAGCAGGACGCAGGGGGAGTGGGACCCAAAGCTTGCTGGATTTGGAGGCGCAACAGACTCGGGATGCAGTTCTGCTGGGGGCGATTTCACTTGCTGGATTTTGGGTCTGCGTGCAACAAACTCCATGACAGCCCGGAAGACACTCATGCACTTCATGCTGGGCACCTGTGAAGATGCCACACACAACGGCATTGCAAACAAGCTCACAAAATTGCAACATACAGGACCTTGCTTCCTTCCCAAAAGGCAAGTGCACTGTCCAGCAACAACAGCGAAGTGGATTTCCAAAGGCAACCTTCACATAACCTTCACAATTGACTTTGCAGGACCACACACGCCATGGCATTAGCCCATTGCTCGAAGCTGGAGCCTCTCACAGACATTGCAAAATGTTCCGTGCTGATCGCCAGCATCGAGGGCAATGCACAGAATTTAGAAGGTGCACCAGTGGGGGCGAACATTGCATAGTTCCATTTGTATCATTGCTTCCCCATATCTTGCTATAACTGCTTAATATGGCAGTGTTGTATGACAGTGCTTCGCAAGGACAGGCCATTCCAACTGCTATGCAAATGAAGAACATTTTGCTGGCATGCCATTGTGCTGTGGTTGCCCTTTAGTTCGGACTGAGGGGGATCTGCTGTGTGCCTTCCATGAGGTTTTCTGATCAAGCAAATTGGTACCCACACAAAAAGCTCTGTTCTCACTGCATGCAAGTGAGATAAGAAAAGTCTGCTTTGTCAAGTAGAAACAACTCCTGTCAATTGTCACAGTAACTTGCCGAAGCTGCTCTGCTGTCACTTGTAAAAGCATCGCCTGGACCCTTGCCCCCAACAGGGAAGAATGGCAGTTATATTCCTATTTGTTCACACCAACCACCAATACAACAGTTGCCCCTCACCACTGCTCGAGTCTCAACCAGATGTGCCACTATCATTGCCCACACGAAGCCAGACATGCCATTTGGACCACCCAGGCGGTGTGCACGAGCCCATTCCTGCAGAATGGCACCAATTTCAGACAAAACAGTCCCACAAAAGACCAGTGCCTCCAGGCAAACACCAGCTCCAGACCAGGTTGCCTCTGTCCCAGTTTCTTTGGTGCTGTGTAAATGATGGAATTATCGATTCGGCAATGAATGCAACTACTAGTAGGCAAATGCTGACCGCCAGAGCAAGATAAGACAACGTAGTCGCCTTACGGTTAAACTGAATTTGGTTACATACACAAGAGCAGGGGCAGATACCAAGATGAACTGGTGCATGTGCCTCCTTGGGCAGCAACATTCGCCTGGAAACAAACACAGCAGTGCCTCGAAAACTATGCTTGGCTGTGGACTATCCAATTTGGTTCACCTTTGGTTTGCTGCTTCCATGGCTGCAATGGTGGCCACACAACAGGAGCTGATTTGCGAGGCAACGTAATACACATTAGCAGTTACCACCAGGCAATGGATCGCACCTTCAAGAGAATAATAGCATCAAGATATGCGCTGCCATCCTTCTTCCCCAGAATTTGCTGCAGGTACTCATGATGCTCCTTGGCAAGCATGTCGCCAAGGACAGAGCCATTGTAGTTTGTGCTGGATGCCAGCTTTTCCTGTTTTTTCCCCTTGCCTTGGCCGTTGCCAACACTGCTGCGGTCAGGACCCAGGCGTCTCATGGGAAAGCACTGTGGTGAAGTGATGGGAATAACACGAATCCTGCACACAATTACTTTCAACCATCTACTTGACAACAGGGCGGCCAAAGGGTACTGCTCATGTTCGCCAGTGAGAACACTCCTCAGCATAATATGCAGAGGTCCAGTGCAAGCAATGTGGATATGCAGATGACATGCAAGTACTTATTCATAATTCCAGCAGCAGAAGAACGTGATCGATTCGCTGTTCTGTCCGTATCCCTTTTACTATCCATTCATGCTCTGTGTCAGGATCCATGATGAACAGCATATAAACAACATTGTCCTCCTAGCTGTCTCCTTAATTGCTTCTCTGCAAACGATTGTCAACAAGGTGCTCATCTCTTTCTCATCATAGTCATACTAATAATCATTTTATGATGTTCATCACTTCTCTGTTTGTTGTTCCCCAACTGTCCCACCAACAGGCAGTAGGCACCAGTGCAATGGCACACATTGCACCCATCGCGATGATGTGAGCAGCAACAGCAACAACAGCCCCTGCAGTGACAAGTGGCCATAACTCACGACTCCAGTGTTCTCCAAGTACCTCAATCCACGGAAGGACAATTTCAGTCCTGGCACAAATTCCAGCACAGGTCGCCTTGGGTCATTCCTGAGCACCCCATAATGATGCGATGCCATGAGCTCCTGCTCTTGCAGCCTCCGCTGCATGCAGGTCAAGTACAGAAGCCGCTTTGCGTGATAGCGGTAGTGTAGGAAGTCCCGTGAGGCTGCAGGAAAGCATGAGTCCGGCATTCTTACCGCCAGGTCTGTCACAAGGTTGTCCTGTGTCAAGGTGCCCAGAGAGTAGCTCCCTATCCAGAAGACCTCTGTGGGGGGAACGAATTCAAGCGTCATCTGCACAACAGGGCGAATGAAGAATTACTGCTTTCATTGCAGCAATCCTGGCTTGTGTCTGCACTAAGTTCAGGCCTTCAGACAGCATTGGCTTGTATCTGCATATCAGTCAACAGCTTTTGATGCTGCGTGCCGCCGCAAGCGATCACAGAATTGCCTTGCACCATTGTCTGGCAAGGTCACTTCTGTTCTGTTTGTTTCTTGGCTACAGCTGGACAGCACCAGTGCCATTCATGGAAGAGGTTTCAGTCAGGAACACACTGCATGGAAGTTGACAGCAAGACTGGTGGGAAACACAGCCAGAAGACAGATGCACGCTCATATATTTGGCAAAAGATTGGAATTGCCAGTTGCTGATCAGCTACCATTTCCCAAAAAATCCACCACCACAACCGCACCACAATCCACCACCACCACTGCCACAACTCATGTGACCATTTCCAGATAGGAATCAATGCCTGAGGGTAGTGTCCCAGATGCAGCAACGATGCATGACATTCATGCAACCTCTGAGCTCCTTTCGCACCTTAGCACCCATGCCCAGATCGGTGAGGTACTCAGCAGCATCCGTGGCATACACCTGCAGCAGAATGAAACAATTTCCCAACCACACATTCCACTCCAAATCAACCCAGCCCTGTGATACCTTCCTCCTCTGTGCAAAGGGACACCAGCAAGCCTTTCTCATTCTTAAGAATGCTTGTGTGCTGAGGGCAATTCCCGGACCAGGCACTTGACCACTGTTTCAACAACAAGAAGTGGAGCACACTACACACAAAGCATATTTCGAAGGGGAACACATATTTTGCACCTCATTTCTTGTCATGGAGAAGATGCAGAGGATAATGGGAGCCTACGTGTGGAACATGGAAACACACAACAAAGAAAAGCAACAAAGGTCAACTGCAAAGGAACAGAGGGCCCCGCATCAGGGCTTTTCTTTCTGCATCATGCGACTATGTTTGTCAGTATATGATAAAATGTCACCCATGACCAAGGCAAAGATGAGCACAATTCAGGCATTTTAAACGGCACCAGGTGCACATGTCTTCTGCAGGATAAATCGATTGTGGCGGTCATGTATTTTTACTTAAGATGACTGCCGTGGCTCTATCCCACATCTAGTCATGCTTTTTTGTGTGTGCACCTCACTCAGATGACACAGCGTTCTCCCTGGCAAAATACACCCCAGGGGCAGGCAGAAGTGCACTATAATGGCCACTTGGCACAAATGCTGGGCATTGTACCCAATACACTCACTGTGTGTGGTGAAATGGCGCAGATAGCGTCTTTCACTTTCGTTAGGACAGCATCCATTTCTGCCCTCATGTCATCTTGATTCACACGACACGATGCAACCAGCTCATCTGCCTAAAACGCATAAAAACGATTGTCTTCAATCGCCCACAAGAATGTGGGGCTTAGTAACCTTCAGACCTCTCAAACCAATGCAATGCCAGCAACATTGGATGCATCACAGACTATAAAACTCACTATTTCGCAAGATACTAGACATGGATGTAAACCCAGGTTCAGGTTGCTCTGGGTCATCATGATGCGCTGGCCTGTGTCGACCCAGGCGAAGCAGCACATGTCGCAGGTTGGCAGGACGTGCGAATACCCTTTGCCTCGCTACAACGGAAGAAAGCAAGTAAAGTGCACATAGAAAAACTCCGCAGCACGAAAGTGCCGTTTGGGAATATTCGCTCGAAGCCGCTGACAAGGGTCCACAACGGGCTCTCCACAAACGGAGTCCATTGAGTCCACAATCCCATTGACCATCCACTGCTCGATGCACGACGCCGTTTCCACATCAAGGACGCAGGCGGAGGTCCGACACTGCACCTGAGCCTGCAGCAGAGCGCGCTCCACGCCGCCCTCCCCATCCATGGCGCTCCCGTCCATCTCCAGCCCAACCCCCCTGGGCCGCTTCCGCCCTTGCACATGCCCAGCTCCCGCAGCAGCATCAGCGGCTGCTCCTGCGGCCTTCCCATCTCCAGCATGACCAGACAGCCTTCGCTTTTGCCCGCGTTGTTTCTGGCCGGCTGCCGGGCCGGCATCGATGGCTTTTTCCGTCTCAGCTGGCCAGGCGGAACTCGTGGCGTGGCCGTCAGCGCCGCCCCCCGCGTGTGGATTCCATTTGGCCTCTTTCATGCCGCTTGCCGCGAGCAAGCCAAATGGGAACTATTGGATGGGCCGGCGCACATAACGCGGGGCCAGCGCGCTTCGGTGCCTGCACTGGCGGCTAGTGCAAGTGTAGAACGACTGTTGGCGGGACGGCCGTCACGCCGCTTTCTGCTCTATTTCTTGTTTATGTTTTGGTGTATTTCTTGTGTGTTTTTACGTACTTTCCATCCAACAGAATGGAGTTGCCCGTTTTCGCAGTTGTCCCCCGCCTCTTGCAGTGTCGTGACGTCCGGCACAATGTGTTGGTGCAGGAGGGCCTTTGCTTAAAGGTGCAAAACGATTAGGTGGCTTTGAACGTTGGGGTGCGGATTAGGGTGCGCACTGCGCAGCACTCTCCCGAGTCCTTTTGCCCACGAGATGCTGTCGGCTGAACCCGGATTCGCACCACCCAACACCTGCGAGCCGCCGTGGCGACGTGGCTTGCGCGGCCTGCCCTCATCCAAGCAGGGGCTGTACTAACGCACCACCGTGTTGGCGCAGGTTGTTTATACAACACACTGACCCAAGGATCGACGCTGGGAGCGGACGAGTCCTGACTCCAAGCGAGACAAAATCACACTTTGCCTGCTGACAGGACGAACCGTGCAGCTCCGCGGCACGTGCGCACCGAGAAACTGATCGCTCTCAAGGCGCCCACTCCTCCCGAAAACAACCCGCATGAAACACCGCTGTCGGGCACCAGCACCCGTCCCACTCTTCAGCAGCCATCCAATCCCCTCACGTTGCCGTCTCGAGCATACGTGGACCCCGTTCGCCCACGTAATCCCGGGCCCCGGCGTCCAGGCCCCGGGGCCCCCCGGCGCCTTCTCCTGCCCCCCCCTCCCAGCACCGCACCAAATCCGCCAGCCCTTTCCCCGGCGCCGCGAGTATCCCCGGCCGGCCATGTCCTCGGCCACCGCGACCCCGGCGGCCGCCGTCTGGACCTCCCCTGGCCCCGCCGGCGCCCCCCCCTTCTCGCCCAAGCTGCAGCAACCCGTCAATCCCGAAGCATCAATTTCTGGTGGGATCCGGCCCGCGGCATGGCCGACGAGCGAGGGCCCGATCGAGCGGCCGGACGGCTTCCTGCAGCGGAGGGATGAGCGAAGCGGGGAGACGGAGCTGGTGTTCGAGATGGCGCGCGGGGAGCTGAGGCTGACCTGCGGCGCGGCCGAGCAGGACGCCGTGGACGCCTTTGTGGCGTCGTTCCTGCGGTTCCTGGCCACGGGCGCATGGGAGGGCGGGCCGGCCGGTCCGCTGGGATCGCCGGCGGTGTCAATGGGCAGGCACGGCGCCGCGGCGGTGAGGGGGTACGTTTTCTCGCTGGGGCTGACGCCGCGGTTCGCGATGCTGCTGCTGCCCTACTGGCTACCCGGCGAGCGCGGAAGGGTCAGGGAGCGCGCGAAGTCGCCGTGGGCCAGCCCGCAGGTGTCACTGTTGTGCCAGAGGCTGCAGAGGCTGCCGATCGGGAAGCCCCGAGATGCGGAGGCCGGCGGGAAGGGGGTGGATTGTTTCGCACCTCCGGGGATTTCTGCCGAGGGCGCGGCCGGGGAGTTGGTGGGCGGGAAGCGCGAGGCGTCGCTTGGGGCCCCAGCGGGGCAGGGCGGCCGCCCGCGGCGGGCCTGCGCGCGGGACCCGCTCAGAGTCGACGCGCGGGGGGCTGGCAAGGCCGATCGGAAGCGATCAAGGGAGGGCGGCGGATCGGCGCGGGAGCGCGGGTGGAGGAAGCGGGGGAAGTGGGTCGGGCCGGGGCGCGCCTGGGGCGCAGCTCGATCGGCGGGGGGGCACAAGCGCGGGCCGGAGGGCGAGGCATCGCCGGACGGGGCCCGGAGGGCCGAGGCGCGGCCGCCGTGCAGGCGCCGGCTCCGTTGAGGTGAGGCGCGGGCGGGCGGCGACGGGGTGGAGTGTTGGCGCCGGTTGCGGGGTGGTGGACAGAAACGCGGCGGAATGCGTCTTGCGAGTGTCTCGGAGACGCCTACCCGAAACCGACCGACACCGGGTGTGTCTGTGTTTGTGTGTGTGCTCGTAAGTCACACATGTCGCGTTGGACCCGTTGCTGCGCCCTTCGTAACACTGGGGCTACGAAGCCAGGTGCCAGGCCTTGTTGGCTGACTGACGGCCCGAAGAGGACCTCATTCTCGAGTAATCAGTGTGTTGCCGTTGTACGGCTGCTGCATTGGAGCTTCGCCGCATCCAGGTCACATCGCGTGGCGCTCGGCGCTTCCCAGTGCAGGGACACGCAGTAAGACAGGGGAGAGTCCGCCCAGAACTGTTGCTATGTTACGATTGGACACCGTGACCATGACACTTCAGGAAGGAGAGTGGAGCTCACCGGCCAATTCATCCAGCAGCCAATCCCCAAGTTTGGCCAGTACAGGGTGTTTTGGATAGGATGTGTGGATGCACTTGCACCCAAGTTTGTCTTTTGGGTAGATGCAGGCACGGGTTAGTGACTCTCGTTGTTTGGTTTGCCCAGGTCTCTGCCCCCAGCGGAAGGCATCTGGCCAACGTGAAACTTACTGGTGCAAGCGCCTGCTGCATGTGTCGGTGCAAGACCCTGCACAGAATCTGTACAATAAGTGTACGGGAAGGGGCAATAATCTGGCTGCCCCGGTGGGGAGGGAAGTGGGGAAATAGAATTGTAAAACATAGAGCTGTTGTCAACTGTGTGTATGTGTACATAAGCGCAAGACAAGTGCGCATTGTGTGGATTTTGAGGGGGAGGGATCCACGACTAGGGGGCCTGGGGCCGATTGCGCAGGAATCATTCCATGCACCCGGACAGATGGGTTGAGATGAGGATTGAAAGCGGACGGCGCCAGTAGGATTTTTTCATCGCTCGAAACAGTTGGATTGCAGCTGCTCAGTAGCTGGATTTATGGCGAACGACAGACTTGGATGCAATTGGGACCTTGTAAAGACTCACTCGTTTTGGCAGCTTGCGTTCCGCTGTCCTCCAGCTCCTTGTCGTCACCACACAGAGGCGCACAAGCCTGCTTCTAACCAGATTGAAGTAAGCAGGGTCACATGACAGCACTCACCTTGCAGCCTTCGCTCCGCTGTCGTCTACTTCTGAGCCGCGGCGCATCGAGTGCGGCCGCCGCCACCAACTCCTCGATCGCATGTCCCGCCGACCGGAACGGACCCGACGACCGCAGCCGCGTCGAGCCGCCCCTCTGGGGCCTCCTTCCGCACGGCGCCGAGGCAGCCTTCTCGGTGCAGCCCCTTCACGGATGTGGGGGCGACATGGGGGCCCTGGACGTGGCCAACAAACGTATTTGCGTCTATTCCATATATGTTTGGACATACCACGGCGGTGACGCGTATGTGCATATGCGCAGGTTTGTCGTAACACGAAATGTACGCGACCTTCTTTCCTCATGCTTCCATGCAGCCCTCGCCGCGACGGCTGAACTAGACGGCAAGCGGCCCGGCCGCGCGGAGCGGCACCGACGCGCGGCCGTTGCGCGCTGGCGACGATTCCGCAAGTTTTTGTGCCTCTCCGCCCTTATTAGGACCTTAAGGCCTTCGGCACGAGGTTCCATGCAAACCGTGCAAACACCAGAGGGACAACAAGGCGCGGCGGTTGTCTACTTCGGGCGGCGCCATGGAGGGGCCGTCCTGCGACCCGCTCCCAGCGCGGGACGCGTTCCCGGCCATCGAGAGGGTACTGCAGCGGAGGCGGGCCGGGGCCGACTGGGTCGGGCGGCGCGCCACGCCTTCCTATGATGTGGGCCCAGCGGTCGGAGTCGGGCATCGCGGGGGCAGCGACGCCCGGGCGGGCGTCCCGTCAGGGCCGGGAATATCATGCCCGTGCGCAGAGGGTGCATGCGGCTGCGGGGCTGCGCTGCGCGGGCGGCCTGTGGGGCACCGGGAGGACGTGGGGGACATTGGCCCGGCGGCGGAAGGCAGGGCTTCGTCGCCACAGGTTGGACGTCATTCGCGGTGCCTGGGCGCAGATGGGCTGGGTGGGGGTGGGCGCCCGGGAAGCGACGGAGGTGAGGCGACTGCTCCCTGTTGGGCTCGGAGATTTGTGTGCACATTGTTGCAAAGTGCGGAGAAGAGTGTTCAAAATTGACTGCGCTTGTGAGGGGCCATTGCTGTGAAGGTTCTTCACAGGGCAGGAGGGGATCAGAGTTTTGTCTTCATCCCAGCGAGGGGTGGAAGGAGAGTTTGGGTGTAGTCGGGGATGTGCTGCCCTCTCCTGGTCCAAACCATACCATGCCAGCAGTGAATTTCCAGTGAGCTTCAGGCTTCAGGTTTACAGTCATGTGTGCAGAGAGCCGCACTCTAACCCCCACCCAACTCGCCACCCCCCCCACACACACACACCCCACAGACCGCCTGCGTGCGCGCGCCATCTAGCAAAGTTTGCCGCGACACTTCAATGCCACTGAGCCATTTGCCCTCGAATGTGCTATGAGAGCGACCCCTGATGCTATCACAGAAGCCAGCGGAGATGCAACCCGGAGCACGCAAAGTGACCTTCTCACGATGAAGGGTCCTGCTGCCACATTGCCCTCTTTCAGCGGAAAGTTGAGACAGCAGAAAGGACCTCTCCGCACTGATATATGCGTGCCTACCCCAGAGCCTGTTTCTGGCGAGGGGAGCGCCACAGACAGCGCTCCCATAGAGGGCAGCGCAGAGAGCGTGAAGGAGCTTGAGCGCCATCGCCAATCGGCGATGGCCTTGCACATTGCCGAGTTCAGGTCGTGGAGGCGAAGGCGCCAATCTGCCGCGGTCATCATTCAGGCAAGGACCCTGCAACAAATATATATTTGTTGATCACATAATGGGATGGAAGACACAATCCAAACAGCTGATCAACAAAAGTGCATGGCAGGGCTTATTGCTACTTTTTGGACTTCAAAACACCA